AAGGACCCCCCAAATAAGGTACCCCCCCCTCTATTTTCGGAAACTCCCAGGTATCGAGCAGGAGTGGGCCATGTCACATGGGCTTCCTGGCTTCGTAGACGCCCCGATCACGTGCCCAGGAGATCAGGCCAGCCTCCCAAAGCTTCCCGAACCTCCCAAAGGTTTCGTTCAGAAGTTTCGGTTTAGGGTTTACTGTAGGGTTTAGGGTTTAGGGTTCAGGGTTTAGGGTTTAGGGTTTAGGGTTTAGGGTGCAGAAGTTTCCGTAAGGTTTTCATGATGATCGAAGTTTGCCTTCTAGGAGCTGGGGTACGGGTTTCATGCCTGAGGGTGTGAGACAGAAAGCCTTCATAAGGACCAACATTACCTCTTAGGGTTCCTTATTGTATCTATACTATAAAGGAGCCAAAAGAACCCCTATTCTAATTATTAGGGCCCCTACATCAGGTGCGCCTTACCCCAACCCGGGATCCGATGCCACGCGCAAGATCGTAGGCTCGATCAAAGCCCCTCAAGCCGAAACGCACGGTGCTCAATCTGTCAAACCCGAAACACCTATACCCCTAAACCCCTAGGCCCCTAAACCCCTGAACCCTAAACCCTAAACCCTACACTCCTAAACCCTAAACCCTAAACCCCTAAACCCTTAAACCCTAAAATCCTAACCCTAAACCCGAAACCTTGAGCTCTTTGGGGTTTGGCTCAAAACCAGATCTCGGGTTCAGGGTTTATAGGGCCTGAGACTTCGAGCGCAAGAGTGCAAGACCCCGAAAGCCAATATGTAGAGACCTTAGTACTTCAAACAGGTTTTTTTTTTTGGGGGGGGGGGGGTAAATTATGCTATCCTAAACCCTAAACTACCTAAACCCTAAACCCTAGACCCTAAACCCTAAACCCTATAATCATAATAAGGAGCACCCAGGATCTGATCCCAATTATTAAGGCCCCTACATTCCTGCCCTCAGAGCTTCCAACAACTGGGATGCCCTGTATCAGAGGATTGTACTACATCGTAGGGCCCTGGTGAGAAGGACATGTAAACCGTATCCAAGCCTGCGACGCTTAAACCCAAATTCCATGTCAAGTCCCCTCAAACCGGTTTAGGGTTTAGGTTTTTTTGTTTTAAGGCCCCCACAAGCGAGGGACAAGAGGCATTAGTGGAAATCCTGATATCTCAGAGTCTCAGAGCACAGGGCTCGAACGCTAAACTCGCAACCCGACAACGAAGAAGCCATGGCTTGGCAGGGACTAAATATTATTTCAACTACTGTTCCATATAAATGATTATTCTGGTATACTATACCCCCCCAAATTCTAGAAGAGCTATACCCCCACGCCCTTTTCTAGTTCCCCTGAACCCCAATTTTTAAACCCCAAACCGTTGTTGAGGGCGATTTGTTGGGATCCGCAGAGAGTGCCTGGAGGTCATCAGCTACGTGAAGAAGACCAGCGGCGAGGTGAGCTTTCTTGGGGTTTAGGCTGCGGCCTTTCAGGGTCTAGGCTTTTGGGGTTCAGGGTTCAGGGTTTCTAGGGTTTAGGGTTCAGGGTTTCTATTAGGGTTCAGACTCTAGGGTTTAGGGTTCGGGGTCTGGGGCTTGCGGGCTCTAGGGCTTTGGGGTGTGGTTTTAGGGTTTAGGGTCCAAGGTTCTAGGGCTTAGGGTTCAGGGTTTAGGGTCGGTCTAGGGCTCCGGGTTTGGGGTTAAGGGTTTAGGGACAAGTAACCTTAGGGTTTTCGGGTTGAGGATTGAGGGGTTTGGGCCCGTGAATGGTGGCGGACGATCAGAGAGGGGAAGCCAGCTCCGAACTCCCAAGCGTCGGCCCTGAAGTTTGGATCTCTGGATCCAGATTCGTCTGGAACCGGGTTTAGGGTTTAGGGTTTAGGGTTTAGACTCATGTACCATCAGTGCACTGTTAAGCTGTGTCAGTTCTTCTTACAGTGCTAGTTGAGCATTCTCAGCATCAGTGCCACCCGGTACAACGGGTGGTTCTCCGAGTCCTTCGTCTTGTTACATTGTTTGGCACGTTGACCACTCTTATCAGCACTAACATCATCATCATCAGTACTGTTTGGTTACTGCCCTCACTTTCTAAGTAACAGTTGAGTAGTATCTATGATAGTTATTAGATAGGTAGAGAGAGATGTGTGTATATATATATATATGTACGAAGAACCTTTCTGTATAATGTGATGATTCCTCTTTGTTTCAACTACTGGCAGGTACAAAACCACAATGTTGCTGGATCAGCTCTTGAGCTTCGGTGAACAAGCCACGGATGCTAGCACAATTGTCACCTTCAGGATTGCAGGAAGTCTTGATGCGGCAGAGGCAGGCGCAGCGGCCAAGCCGGCCGCCCACGTATTATTGGGTCTTCATGCAGGGGCTGGCGATCTGTGTGAGGAGTGGTCGGAATGTTTGCAAAACAGATGCGAATGTCAAGGACCGCAGCCAGGCTCGGACGACGAGTGTGATGTTGTGACGAGGGACGAGGATTTGGATCCCATTGTCACAGCAGGCGACAGACTGCTAAGAGAGCTTCGTAGTGAGGTCGATGCTGAATTAGGTTCATCCGAAGCGAAACGACGCTGCTGCCCTCTATGCCCTTTCCCTAGATCCAGGTCGTGTGAGGCATCACATTCGCTCTTATCACGTGGACAGGAAACAACTTGCATGCAGTGGCACCAAGCAGTTGAAGCTTTGCTGCGCCCTGTTCGACCACGATCAGCTGCGTGGCAGCATCCAAGGCTCGTACTTGAGACGCAGCTCTGACATACTTCGGACCACAGTAAAGCCATCCTTGAGCTGCACCATGAATGAAATTGATAGACACATTCGTTTGGTGTTTACCGGCTCCGGGCCCGAGTATTGGAATCTGAAAGCTGTCGCAGACTCGCCTGACCTGAGACGCGCCCGTAATTTGTGCTACACACGTGCTTTCGCGGAATTGGTTTACCGCGAACTGTTCATGTGCCACGCGAAGTGCAAGGCAGAGTCTTGGATTTTGCGTTTAAGGAAAGGTGATTTGTTTCTGGTATGCGTACAGACAGTAAGCTGAGGGTGTGATATAACAAGTATCATATTGTTGCATTCTCGGCAAGGCGAAGCCCGACTCGCTATGTGGATCAGCATGCAAGGATCGCAGCTGACGTCGCTCCTGCCTACGGACGTCAGACATTGGTGGCCAATCATTGAGGACGTATTCACATCCTCAGCAGTGCTCAGCTTGAGCTCTGACATGATGGCCGCATTCTGCAATTCCAACGAAATCGGGTTCTTGTCACTGGACGCCACCATCAAGTGCTGCATGGGCGTCATGGGACAGGAGTCCTACCGTGCCCCCAAGCACAAGAGGGATGCAGCGCCGTTCGATGATAACGACTCACTCAGGCGAGTTTTGACCGTGCGAGGGCGTACTGGTGCTGTTTTGGCCATGATTCCAGTGTCTTCGGAGAAGGCAGAAGAGGTAACAATGGCCCTCGGCGAGGCGTTGCCTGCAGCAGGAGTGCAGCAGGTGCAGTGCATTGCGTCGGACGCCGCCTCTCTCAAGCTCTTCACCCAACTGCGGCGGATCATGCCAGGCCTACAATGCCTGGTGTTGGACCCCATCCACTTGTCCATCGTGTACGAGCAGCTCGGCTTGTCGGATACACTTTAGTAAGTAGCCAAGAACGCATGAAACCAGTCAAAGCCGTCAAGCACTCTTGAGAGTAGCTTGACAGTTCATACTGAGGTGTAGAGCTGCGTGATCAAGACAGGTACGCCACTTGGCGCAAGAAAACTGCAGGTGCAGTTTTCTTGCGCCGAGTGATGAGCAAATTCAACGCAGTGAGCGTGTCACTGCCTGCGGATCACTGGGGAAATTTCCACAAGAGCTACAATGCTGGCGGATTGAGTCACGCTGAAAATGTGTGTCGGAGCCAGATCGAAAACAGCTCCATGACCAAGCTCAGAGCCAGAAGGATTGTGGAACCTCGACACATCAAAACCTTTTCTGTCCAGGTTCGAGTTCATTGAATGCCTCGCGGCATTGTCATCAATGTATTCGGAAGACATGGACCGCAAGGTTACGGGTTCCAACCAGCGAGTGGCGCATGTGCTCTGGTGCGCCGCTGACCCAGATCGGGCCGCCTGGCTGTTCAACAATCTACGTTGGCGTCACACTCTGGGTCCACGACTCAGAAAAAAACATACGCAGATTGCAGCATGAGCCAACGTGACCCGAGCGCTTCCCCATTCCCCATGTGTCCTGTGATTGCACGGTCTGAGGCCGAAGGGTGCTGGCTCTGCTGCCGTCAGGGACTTCCTCGAACGAGGCTCTACACTCTGAGGTGAAGAACTGGCTCGCGGCAACACAACAGATCCATCAGAGCACCCTTCGTATGAAGCTGCTGATCCTGACCCTTGGCAAGCAAATCGCGCACTTTCATGCTATGGCTAATCCGACCATAAGCCAGTCCTCGAGCCGCATCCTTCTGGCACGGACCATATCGAACTCGCCTTGGACGGAGCTCACGTGACAAACCTGGTGCGCCGAGCTGACAGTGAGTGTCGGGTACAGAAGGCCTCGCTGCCTTACAACGAATCACGGGCAGAAGAGGTATCCAAGGTGCGCGAATTTACCAAGAAGCGCCCGGCCGCTGCTCGCAAGTCTCACACAAAGCGAACCCCATTCACGCTTGAGCGTGTTTCTAAGCTGCGCACACAGGGTGTCCGCAAGCTTACCGTAAGCAGCTTACCAAATGAGCGACAGTGCAGAGTGAAGAAACGGCACACGTCAAGCGATGGGTTTGCATGTGGAAACTAACCGTCGATAAGATGCCCTGAAGTATGCAAAACTTTAAGCAATCGTGCGTTGAGCCTGAGCAACTTGACCTGGGTAACTTCCTTCTTTTAGAGCAACGAGAATCATCTAGCATTACCCACATCGAGAGGTGGCTTTGCGAGACGGAAATTCCTACTGGAACAAGGTAAACTGTGGCTATGCTGGATCGAGGTAAACCGTGGCTCTGCGCGGCGAACTTTCCTGCTGGATCGAGGTAAACTTTCCCCGACATAAAGGCAAACAATGAAGGACAGCTACTGGGACATTCGCATGCGCGACCTTCCACTTCCACTTCCACTTCCCCTTTCCTCTTTCCACTTCCACTGTTCACTTTCTACTCTCCACTTGCACTTTTCACTTTTCATTTTCACATTCCACTTGTGCGCTCCAGTTTCACAGGTGGTATACGCGTCTTACGCCTCTGTCAAACCCGGTATAGCTGCACGAGTGTGCATACCGGTGCGTCATCTAGCCGAAAGCTTCGCTTGCAGGGAGTGCGTCAGTTTTTTAGTAGTAGTAGTAGTAGTAGTAGTAGTACTAGTACTAGTACTAGTACTAGTACTAGTACCAGTACAAGTACTAGTACTAGTACTTGTACTAGTACTTGTACTACTACTTACTTGTACTACTACTACT